GTACAATGCGGGTAGGCGGTCCTGAAGTGTTTAAAACATTTATTTGGACCAAGCTTACACTTGGACCCGCTGGGAGCGATATAAAAACTGTGCGTGGCATCATCTACATTCAGTATACAGAACTGTCATCCAGCAGCAATACAGGGACTTCCCAACCCATTCCTGGAACAAATCTGAGTAGGGCAGAGCTCTGGCAGCTTTGGGTTTTTATGCCTAAATACCAGACTTCCTCTGATTGGCTGTGGTGGAGAGGCGGGTTCAGAAAATTTTGCAATCTAATTATAAATAAGTAAATCTATTAATGTGTTAATTAATTAAATGGAGATCCTAGATCTGCATCGTCAGGAGATATAAGAGGAGTGCTTACAATATTGTATAAAAAATGAGCATACACATTTAAATAATAATAAAATGCAACTTCCAAATGTAAACACAATATCATAAATGCAATAAATGTTACATGTGTCAGAGAGGCCGGTCAATTAGACAATACAATATCAAAGGAGAGACAATAAATAAATACATAAATACATTAATTATGATAATTAAGGGAGATTATAGATTTGCTTCATCAGGAGGTAACAGGTATGTCTACAATAATATATATATATATATATCAAATTTAACCACAATAGCATAATTGCAACAAAGCTTGCATGCATCAGAGAGACCAGTCAATTACCCAATATGATGAGGTTCTATCAAAGGGGATACAATTAATTAATTCATTATTCAATATAATAATTAAGGGAGATCGTACAGAAAAATGTGCTCTATCAGGAGATATAAGAATTAAGTCTACAATGTAATATATATATAATAATAATGATAATAATAATCATAATTTTCAAATTTAAACACAATATCTCAAATGCAATAAAGCTTGCATGCACCAGAGCGACCAGCCAATTACCCAATATGATGAGTTCCAATCAAAGGGAAGACAATGAATTAATTCATTATTCATTATAATAAAGGGAGATCATACAGTAGATATGCTGTATCAGGAGATATAAAAAATAAGTATACAATATAAAATATATAATAATAATGATAATATTAATAATAATTTTCAAATTTATACACAATATCATAAATGCAATAAAGCTTGCATGCATCAAAGAGACCAGTCAATTACCCAATAAGATGAGGTCCTATCAAAGGGGAGACAATCAATTAATTCAATATAATAATTAAGGGAGATCATACAGTAGATTTGCTGTATCAGGAAATATAAAAGTAAGTCTGCAATATTATATAAAATAATAATACTTTTCAAATTTAAATACAATATCATAAATGCAATAAAGCTTGCATGCACCAGAGAGACCAATCAATTACCCAACATGATGAGGTCCTATCAAATAATAAAGTGAGATCATACAGTAGATCTGCTGTATCAGGAGATATAAGAAGTAAGTCTACAATATTATATAAAATAATAATATTATTAATAATAATAATAATTATTATTATTATTATATTATTATTATTGTCATTATTATTGTTATTATTATTATTTTCAGGTGTAAACACAATATCATAAATGCAATAAAGCTTGCATGCACCAGAGAGACCAGTCAATTACCCAACATGATGAGGTCCTATCAAATAATAAAGTGAGATTATACAGTAGATCTGCTGTATCAGGAGATATAAGAAGTAAGTCTACAATATTATATAAAATAATAATAATAATAATTTTCAGATGTAAACACAATATCTCAAATGCAATAAAGCTTGTATGCACCAGAGCGACCAGTCAATTACCCAACATGATGAGGTCCTATCAAAGGGGAGACAATCAATTATTTAATTATTCAGTGTAATAATAAAGGTAGGACATACAATAGATTTGCTGTATCAGGAGATATAAGAAGTAAGTCTACAATATTATATAAAATAATAATAATATTAATTTTCAGATGTAAACACAATATCACAAATACAATAAAGCTTGCATATATAAGAGAGGCCAGTCAATTAGCCAATATCAAAGGGGAAACAATAAATAAATATGTAAGAGATATGTCTACAATACTGTATAAAATAATAAATGTAGAGCTGCCCCCGTAGGAGCCGCTTGTAGATGTACACAGGTTCTTCCTCTGATCAGTACAGGGTAGCCAGGCACGTAGCTGAATTTCATCCACTCAGACCCAATAAACAGTTCAGGGGTGTTAATTGGCACCTTGGGAGGACAGTGGGGTACGGGATACTCCAAAAATGCTCAAAGAACTGCAGATGACTCTTCCCTGTCTCTAGTCAGCAGTGATACAGTCCTTCACTCCCAGCTGAGGACCAGGAGAATATGGGGGTTCCTGTAGCAGCAATAGGCTAAAACAGTCTAGATTCATGCAGTTGGGAACCACAAGGCTGCAGCACAAGGGTTTGGCCTTACTCACAGATACTGGCAATGACCAGTCCAGAGGTGCAACCTCCAGCTGAGTAGTCCAGCCCAAGCCCAAGAAGAGGGGTCCAGGAACAAGCAGTCCCCCTTCTCTTGAGCATGAGGCTCCTCGCCCACATGGGAGAGGAAAGACAAGAACTCCCAGGGTTCCAGACTACTTAAAGCAGAAGTTCACCCTCTCAGTCAACACTATTATTACTATTATACAGTCTTTATATAGCGTCAAAAGGTTTGCTCAGCGCTGTACATTATAGTGGGGGGACAGAACATGAGACAATACAGTAACAAAACAAGACACGAGGGGTTGGAGGGCCCTGCTCTTTCGAGCTTACAATCTAGGAGGGAGGGGAAGGTGGTACAGGAGGAAGTGGCTGAGGGGGATGGAGTGGTAGGAGGAGTGTAGAGTGTAGATTGGCTGTTAGGTGAGGGTGGGGTAGGCTTCCCTGAAGAGATGGGTTTTCAGGGTGCGCCTAAAGGTGAGGAGGGAAGGTGATAATCTGATGGATTGGGGTAGTGAGTTCCAGAGGATGGGGTCCTGGAGAAGTCCTGCAGTCGGGCGTGGGAGGTGGAGACCAGGGAGTTAGAAAGTAGGAGGTCTTGTGAGGAGCGAAGATTACGGGTAGGGTGGTATTTGGGTATCAGGTCGGTGAGGTAGTTTGGTATTTTTGATCATTATGGTGCTAGCAATGGTAAATAAATTGGAAGGTATATTATATGTATTTGTTTTAAACTTTGTTTTTTTTACATGTCTTCAGTTACTTTCTAGATTCCATGCCTAGGCAAATGAGGGCATACATTCCAGGGTTCTTCAATAGGGGAGGAGGGATTTTCTTAGCCAAATACATCCGCCTGCCTACTTGCCTGAGCTAAGGGCAGATGGACTCCAAGAAGTAAATGCTACTTGAATCATCTGCCCTTAGTCAAGATGGCCATGGCCAGAAATGCTAGAGGGTGTTTTTCCAACATGATTTCTCAGCAAAATAAAGTATGGAGAATGGATGGATGGGTGAGTTTGCTTTGGATATTAAAATGAATTAAGCAGTGTTTTTGGTTTGTGGGGCTTAGATGAAGTGAAGTTCCACTTTAACAATGACACAGCCAGGGGTGGACTGACAACTCATGGGGCCCCCCGGGCAATAGGGGAACATGGGGCCCCTGTGTCTTTGCTCAAGCTCAAAAAAACCTATGAAAAAGGTACCAGGGGCATCTCATGAGGCCCCCTACTGACCCCGGGCCCTCGGGCAGTGCCCGAGTTTCCAAATGGTCAGTCCGCCCCTGGACCCAGCCACCATCTGGGCACACCTCCCTAGGGATTGGCTAGGGCCTACTAAATATTTGGTATTTGAATCCTCCCCCTAAGCTCTACAATGTATCTTCTAAAGGCAGGGAGAAGTCATCAAACTCCCAGTCTATGAAAACCTGAACAGACTATACTCAACAATTACTGCCTCTGTGACTACAGCAGAGGCCAAAACACTACGTTTGCCTAACAGCCTAGGTAATAATGTTACCCCAGGTTCACACCTATGCGTTTTCCATTGCGTTTTGCAGAAACTCAGTACAGTGCATTTAACATGATTTCCTATGGGACACGTTCACATCTGCGCATTTTCACTTGGTGCGTTTTTTGGAAAGGATCAGGGACTTTTTTGAACGCAAAAAGTTGTGTTTTTGTTTCCTCAATGAAACAATGTTTCCTCAAATTTGTTTCCTCAATGTAGACCTCAATGGAGTCGCTGCAGAAGAGCACATATTGCATTTTTTCTGCATTTTTGCTGCATTTTGCTGCGTTTTTTATGCGTTTTGCATTTTGCGTTTTAAATCTGCCTAGCAACAGGACAAATAAAAAAAATAAAAAAAAACCCCTGCAAAATGCATAAAAAACGCAGCAAAATCGCAGGTGCAAAACGCAATGCAGGAACAGCTCAAAAGCAACCTGCACAGGTGTGATCCTAGCCTTAGGCAATTATTATGATAATAATAATAATACCAAAAAGTCACATAAGTAATTTAAATTTTTTGGTGAATTTATTTCCTAAACAGTGTCATTTCAGGTATTAACCCCAAACAGTTACCAGAACGCAATGGGGGCTATTTACTAAAACTGGAGATCACAAAATCTGGTGCAGCTCTGTAAAGAAACCAATCAGCTTCCAGGTTTTATCCAAAGCTTAACCACTTGTCTACCGGACACTTTCACCCCCTTCCTGCCCAGGCCAATTTTCACATTTCAGCGCTTTTGCACTTTGAACGACAATTGCGCGGTCATGCAGCACTGTACCCATATTACATTTTTATAATTTTTTTTAGATGGATAGAGCTTTCTTTTGGTGGTATTTAATCACCTCTGGGTTTTTTTTATTGTTGGCTAAACAAACCAAAAACAACTGAAAATTTTGAAAACAAAAGTTTTTTCTTAGTTTCTGTTATAAAATTTTGCAAATACTGTTAGTAATTTTTCTCCTTTACTGATGGGCACTAATGAGGCTGCACTGATGGGCACTGATAAGGAGGTACTGGTAGGTGGGACTGATGGGCATTGACAGGCATCACTGATGGGCACTGAAAGACAGCACTCATACATGGCACTGATAGGCAGCACTGACTGACACTGATAGGCGGCACTGTGACTAGCACTGATAGGAGGCACTGAAAGGCAGCTCAGATGGGCACTGATATGTGGCATTGATGTGGGACTGATGGGAATTGATATGTGGCATTGATGTGGGACTGATGGGCACTGACAGGTGACATTGATGGACACTGACAGGTGCACTGATGGGGCTACACTGATCATCAGTGCCCTGATGATCAGTGTAGATGTCCCCTCTGAGGAATGCCGATTACCAGCTCTCCTCTCCTCACTAGCTGTCAGCGTGAGGAGTGGACTGCTGATAACTGGCATTTCCTTATTTATATGTGATTAACTGTGATTGGACACAGCTGATCACATGACAAAGCCTATGTCATCGGCTCTTTCCATTGATCGGTGATCCGCTGTGTCCCAGGGACAGAGCTAGAGTGGGAGGATGTCATATGATGTCCTCCCAGAACGAGAGACCCGCCCTCCAGTCATTTCCTTATATGGCAGGCGGGAGGCGGGTAATCAAACAAGCTGAAGCTAGAAGCTGATTGGCTACCATGCACAGCTGTGCCAGACTCTGAGCGCACCATTTCTAGTAAATTTCCCCCAATATTTTTCACTATCTTGTACCTTTTAGCAGGATGTACAGACATAATCACTTAAAGTGTTACTAGACCCAGGGCAGTACAATCAGTCTGTAGATGCATTAAAGCATGCTTGTTATACTCACTGTGGTACCTAAGGGGGTAATCCTCTGCATTGTGTAAACACACTGTTTGATCCTATCTTCTCTGATCATCCCTCTTCTTACAGTGCCCTCCTCTTATCTTCTGATAAGACATACTGTGTGGAGTCACTCTGCACATTCTCAGTTTGGTGTGTATTGCTTTTTTTCTTGGGAGAGTGCATGTGATCAGCACAGGGCCAATCGGTGTTGTCCAGACAGAGATCATGGGTTCTGCATCCTCCTAGAGCAGAAAGGAAACTCATCCTACAAGCTTTAACCAGTGCTTGGCTGGACACTGATAGAAGTCACAAGACTGGACTATTAGCGGATGAGAAAAGGTATTTAGCAGTTTATATTTAGTAAGATATTTGCAGTTCCTTGTTTTGTGTACTGTGGGAGAACAGATATAGTGAATGCAGGGTCCGGGGAGAACAGATATAGTGAATGCAGGGTCCAGGGAGACCAGATATAGTGAATGCAGGGCCCGGGTCGACCAGATATAGTGAATGCAGGGTCCTGGGAGACCAGATATAGTGAATGCAGGGTCCTGGGAGACCAGATATAGTGAATGCAGGGTCCTGGGAGACCAGATATAGTGAATGCAGGGTCCGGGGAGACCAGATATAGTGAATGCAGGGTCCGGGGAGACCGGATATAGTGAATGCAGGTCCAGGAGACCAGATATAGTGAATGCAGGGTCCGGGGAGACCAGATATAGTGAATGCAGGTCCAGGAGACCAGATATAGTGAATGCAGGGTCCGGGGAGACCAGATATAGTGAATGCAGGGTCCAGGAGACCAGATATAGTGAATGCAGGGTCCGGGGAGACCAGATACAGTGAATGCAGGGTCCTGGGTTTAGTAACACTTTAAAACTGACTCTTCAGATTCAAAAGTATAACCACGACTGGTTCTCTTTAAGAAAACCAGCTTGAAGTTCAGTAGTAAAGTTGTAATGAAATGGTACAGCACAATATTTATTTTTTAGTGGTTTCCTTGAATCAAAGTGGTTATTTCAGTGGAGCTCTTTACACTGACATCATTGAACTGGATGGTAGTCGGCACCTTCATGTATGATTAATTTTTATCCATAAAAATGTATGACAAGCAATGTTATAAAAAAAAAAAAAAAAAAGTTTTTTTTTCAATAATGGTTGGTGACTGCCCCCTACTGGCACGAATCACTCATCTCCTGTCTCAGTATGAACACTCTCCAGCAGGTTTCTCCTCTCTGCCTTTGTATCTTTATACATGTCATGATTTTCTTTACTTGGCTTGGTGCTGGATGGGAACATGCTCACCGAGTGTGACGGGTGGTGAGATAGCTGTCTGTTCCCGATCGCTTTGCTCCGCTGCTGGGACCTGCTTCGATTTTTAACCGAACGCAGCTAAAGCAGTAAATTCTCAGAGAGCTGCGGGTCCTCAACATGAAATAATGTGCATCTGCTTGTGTGTGATTTCCCAAAAACTATACGCACGTTAAGAAGCTTTTGCCATTACCCAAAGCCTCCCATATCATCCTCTAATGCAGGGATTGGTGCTTTTAGTATTCTTTACTCCTTTGTTGCTGAACTCTGGTCTTACCTTCAGTTTTGCTCAGTTGTACTTGTACAGTTTCCTCTCCTGAACTGAAAAGGCTTACCTTGATTTTGCTGCACACTGTGAGCTTCTCACAATGTACATTAGAAGCTGCAAGTCAGACAAAGCCCGCCTCATTTTCTGATTGGAGCATATCTCTTTTCTCCCCAGCCCAGTGGTGGACTGACAACTCATGGGGCCCCCAGGCAATAGGGGATCATGGGGCCCCTGTGTCCTTGCCCAAACTCAAAAAAGCCTATGAAAAAGGTACCAGGGGCATCTCATGGGGCCCCCTACTGACCCCAGGCCCTCGGGCAGTGCCCGGGTTTCCAAATAGTCAGTTCGCCCCTGCCGCAGCCTTATTGTCCCTGGCCCATCCCTTTTATCCATTGGATATACACTACATTGCCGAAACCATTGGTCGTCCTGCCTTTACACGCACATGAACTTTAATGGCATCCCAGTCTTAGTCCGTAGGGTTCAATATTGAGTTGGCCCCGCCCTTTGCAGCTATAACAGCTTCAACTCTTCTGGGAAGGCCATCCACAAGGTTTAGGAGGGTGTCTATGGGAATATTTGGCACTGATGTCGGGGAAGGAGGTCTGGCTTGCAGTCTCCGCTCTAATTCATCCCAAAGGTATTCTATCAGTTGAGGTCAGGACTCTGTGCAGGCCAGTCAAGTTCCTCCACCCCAAACTCGCTCCTCCATGTCTTTATGGATCTTGCTTTGTGCCCTGGTGTGCAGTCATGTCAGAACATGAAGGGGCCATCCCCAAACTCTTCCCACAAAGTTGGGAGCATGAAATTGGCCAAAATGTCTTGGTATGCTGCAGGGGCGGACTGACCATTTGGAAACCCGGGCACTGCCCGAGGGCCCAAGGTCAATAGGGGGCCCCATGAGATGCCCCTGGTACCTTTTTCATAGGCTTTTTTGAGTTTGGGCAAGGACACAGGGGCCCCATGATCCCCTATTGCCCGGGGGCCCCATGAGTTGTCAGTCCGCCCCTGGTATGCTGACACCTTAAGAGTTCCCTTCACTGGAACTAGGGGGCCAAGCCCAACCCCTGAAAAACAGCCCCACACCATAATTCCCCCTCCGCCCAACTTTACACTTGGCACAAAGCAGTCAGGCAAGTACTGTTCATCTGGCAACTGCCAAACCCAGACACAGATTGCCTGACAGAGAAGTGTGATTCATCACTCCAGAGAACACGTCTCCGTTGCTCTAGAGTCCAGTGGCAGCGTGCTTTACACCACGGCATCCGACACTTTGCAATGCACTTGGTGATGTAAGGCTTGTAGCTGCTCAACCATGGGAACCCATTCCATGAAGCTCTCTACATACTGTTGTTGTGCTAATCTGAAAGCCACACCAAGTTTGATGTCTTTAGCTATTGACTCTGCAGACAGTTGGCGACTTCTGAGCACTGTGCGCTTCAGCATGCGCTGACCCCGCTCTGTCATTTTACGTGACCTACCACTTGGTGGCTGAGTTGCTGTTGTTCCCAGTTGCTTCCACTTTGTTATAATCCCACTAACAGTTGAGCATGGAATATTTAGCCACTTGACCTCCAGAGGATTTACTCCCCTTAATGACCAGGCCTCTTTTTGCTACTCGGCGCTGCACTAATTCAACTGATAATTGCGCGGTCATGCAATGCTGCACCCAAACAAAATTTATGACCTTTTTTCACACAAATAGAGCTTTCTTTCGGTGGTATTTGATCACCTGTGCGCTTTTTATTTTTCATGCTATAAACAAAAAACGCCAAAATTTTTTAAGAAAAACGATATTTTTTACTTTCAGCTATAAAAAATATATAGTAAACTCAAAGTTGGTTATAAATTTAGGCCAAAATGTATTCTGCTCCATGTTTTTGGTAAAAAAAAATCCCAATAAGTGTATATTGATTGCTTTGTGTGGAAGTTATAGCGTCTACAAACTATGGTATAGATACTGCAATTTACACCATTTTTTGCTATACAACTCTGTGCTAGTTTAATGGACAATTGTACGGTCATGCAATACGGTACATAAATGAAATTTACATCCTTTTTTCCCCACAAATTGAGCTTTCTTTCGGTGTTATTTGATTGTCTGTGCGGTTTTTATTTTTTGCGCTATAAAAAAAAAGGCTGACAATTTTGAGGAAAAAAAACAATATTTTGGACTTTTTGCTATAAATCATGTCCAGTAAAAAAAATGTAAAAATCAAATTTAGTCATAAATTTCTGCCAAAACGCATTCTGCGACATGTCTCTGCTAAAAAAAAACCCCAATACGTGTAAATTAATTGGTTTACGTGAAAGTTATAGCATTTACAAATGGCGGGAAAGATACTAGGTTTTTTTTTTATACTAATAATGGCGGCGATCAGCGACTTATGGTGGGACTGAGGGACTGCGGCGGACATTCTGACATTGGGGGGTACTGACTTGGGGTCACTGACATCCCCAGTGACACCAATACAGTGATCAGTGCAAAAAAAAAAACACTGACACTGTACTAATGGCACTGGGGAGGAAGGGGTTAAGTTTATTATTCAGGGAAAGGGTTATCTGTGTGAGGGGAGTGTTTTACTAGGGGGTGGGGGTGTGTACTGCAGGGAACACCGCTGATCAGGAGAGAGTATCTCTTCTGTCCCGTTCAGCGTGTCCTGAAGCTGTCAGGGAACTGACAGACAGCACAGCTACTGCAGCTGTGCTCTCTGTCAGCGATTGCCGCCGATCGCCGGGACATAGCCGGTAACGACCAGCTGTGACACGGCGACTGACATCCGCGGCTGTGATCGGCGGGACAGGTAGGGCGGCGACGCGCTTCGTGCACGCCCCCTACCTGTTTTAAAAACACACGTTTTAAAACCTGGTTTTGCCCAGCCGTGCCGCCCTGCCACTGTATTTCTACAGTGGCTGGGTGTCATGTGGTTAGTAGCCAGGAAATGTCACGGATGGATTTATTGCACAGGTGGCAACCTATCACGGGATCACGCTTGGAGTCACTGAGCTCCTGAGAGCGACCCATTCTTTCACAAATGTTTGTAGAAGCAGTCTGCATGCCTAGGTGCTTGATTTTATACACCTGTGGCCATGGAGGTGATTGGAACACCTGAATCCAATGATTGGGAGGGGTGTCCTGATACTTTTGGCAATATAGTGTACGTTCTTTTAATCCAGATGGTTCAGAACCACATGTGGTGTCAGGAATGGGTTCACCTGCTGTTGGCACTGTTTCTCCCAGATCTGAAGGTTGTAATTGTAGGTTGTCGTTCCACCAGCCAGCAGCTCTTAGTAATTAGTCATTATTTGAGTGTGGTTGCTGGGAGGATATTTAGTCATTTCTGTGCTACTCTCCCTTGCCTTGGTATTTTGCCCATGTGCTCTGATCATGCCCCAGGTCCAGTTCCTGTCTTTATCTTGATCCTCACCTGCCTGCTTTTTCCTGTTCCCATGTATCCTCTCCCTGCCCTGGTTTGCTGCATGCTCCCTCTGCCTCATCTCCTGTGCATGACCCAGACTCTGACTCTGACACTGTCTACACTTTTCAGCCACATCCTCCAGCCAGTATATAGTCATTTAGTTGGTATAGGCAGTTTGTTCATTGTTAGCACTTTCTCTCAGATTCACTGGCTTTGGTTTATGGGGTTTTGGTATATTGATACCACCATTCGGTAGCCGTGATATGTGGCCATTACCTAGTGCAGTCTGTATGCAAATGCAACTTGCCCAAGAATGTCAACTCCTCTAGGCTTCTGTCCACTCATCAAAGCATTTTAATATTTGCATAACTCCTCCCGAGAGCCAGCCCACTGATGACTCTACAGAGGAGAACTGAGGCAGGGTGTTGTGATGATTTTCAGGAAGCTATGTTAGGCACCCTGCCAGCCCCTCCCACTAGCTATGATCTATGTGCATTACATAGAGAAGCACAGAGACCCAGGGATGACAAATAAGATATTTAATGAAGACAGGTTTTATTTAAAAATGTAATTAGCATGTTGATAGGAGGAACCTGGGGAGGCAAAATATTAGATAAAACATCTCCAAACCACTTTAAGGATATAAATCCTAACTAGATAAACAATTGTCATTTTTGTATTAGAAAATATGCTGTTTTTTATCTTGTTTTGCATCTCTCTGTGATACTAATTTTTTCCAGCCACTTCATGTCTGCATGCAAATGCTCCATCATAGCCTGCACATCATTGCTCTGAGCTGGTCTGCCGATGATGACAATGATGGAGAATGCCGGCCATCTGTACAGCTGCTTATAGTCTACACTGGAAGCATTATATACTTTAGAGTGACAGCGTGAAGGACAATGTGACTACATAGAGACAGGGCCGGTGATAGACTATGTTGCGCCCTAGGCAAGACCAGCTACTGTGGGATTGTGATGATGTCATCAGTCACTGATAATGTGATGGATGGCCGGGTCACCCTCACATAGACACGAGACATCAGACATTACCTTCCCCTACTACAGGCGCAGCTCCACCTCCAATGATGAACGGGAAGAGAAGGGCTGGAATTCCACAGTGATCAGCAGCTGCCAGCCGGCTTGCAGTAAGGGACTGAGTCTGAGAGGAACACTGGAAGGATGAGTAGCAATATTGGGCACTGATGGGCAGCACTGTTGGGAACTGATGGGCAGCACTGTTGGACACTTTTGGGGCTGCACTGATAATATCAGTAATTCTCAGTGCCCTGATTATCAGTGCAGACAAATTATATTATATTAATATAATTATCAGTGCAGATGTCTGCTTTGACAGTTGCCGGTTATCGGCAGTACTTTCCTCACGCTGTCACAGTGTATTTATATAGTGCTCAGATGTGATTGGACACAGCTGATCACTTGGCAGAAGGCTGCTGTGATTGGTCTTTTACAGTATCATGTAATCAGCTGTGTCTAAAGGACACAGTGATCACAGACAGTGCCAGGTGCGCATTGCTGGGGGGCGCATTCTGGGAGGACGTTATATGACACCCTCCCAGAACAGCACTAAAGCACTGTAGTCATCATTCGGCTATAGCGCGGTAGTAAAGTGGTTAATAGATAGGCGCTGCCCCAGACAGGAGGGATAGGGGTTATTTTTATTTTGTATTATTATACAGTATTTATATAGCGCCAAAGGGTTTGCTCAGCACTGTACAATCTAAGGTCCCTAACTCACATTCATACATACACATACTAGGGCCAACTAATTTAGACAGGAGCCAGTTCACCTACCAGTATGTCTTTGGATTTATAAACGATTTAAGGTCTGTACTACTTGTTGGGGGTGATGAAGATTTTTGTTTCTTACACTGATTGCTTTTAAACCCATAAAGGCTGTAAAAGCAATCATTTCTCCTTCTCTCTGGCTGCATTCTTGCAGCCATTGAGAAATACTGTGTGAGCTGTGATTGGTCACAGCTTGTCACATGGTACAAGGCTGTTGTGAATAGCCTTGTACCATGTGATCTCTGTGATCATTCACAGATTTCACACGTAGGAAACAATGATGTCAGAAGTGACATCTTGCTTACACCTATTCATGTGATCACTGATTGGCCAATCAGTGATCACATGATTGGGACCTCACACAGAGGTCCCGTACAGCAATCGCGGTGCCGCATGTTCCCAGGGAGCATGCATAGGCAATGGATACGTTTATAAATGGCCACCCGATCCTACACTGCTTCCATCCGGCCGTTTATGTATATGGCCCGGACGGGAAGTGGTTATTGTTGGTTGAACTGGATGGACTTTTTTCAACCAGATTAACTGTGTAACTAAAATTGAAGCACCTACATCGGTGACAGCGTGCCACTGGAGAGATCCATTTAAAAGGTAAGTTTGTTATAATGTGCTAGTATGTGATGAAGCCAGGAGGCCATTAAAAAATGAAAAATGACAGTTTACTACCATTTTAGGTTGGTGTGGCTCTTAATAGAAGTGACGTGGTTTGAGCTGAAATGTGAGCTCTAGTGAATCCCGATCTATATCCAGTCATTTCTAGTAGTGCCCATACCTGTGGCATTGCTTGAGTGCTATATCGCACTGATATCAACAAAAATTAACTATTCTCCAATACACTAAAAATAGTTTTATTGCTCTCAGCAACTAGTTTCCACTGGTATAGGAAGTAAGAATAAATCTCAACAAATGCACAGCAATAAAAACCAAGAAGATCTGTGCTTTCCCCACTGTATCCAAAAAAAAAAAAGACCACTTTAATTATAACAAATCTTCTGCTCACTGGTGGGGAAAAAATGGCTAATGACTCCATAAGGAGATTTCCTGTTCACCACAGATGCAGCTCAGACCCAGAGCATGGACAGCAACATGAGTGTTGAAGGTGCAGTAATATATTTTAGTTTGTTTATAGAATGAAATACCAAGAAATTTGTCTTCTCGGATTTGCATGACTTGCTTGTAGGAAGGTGGAGGCTGCAGTATATTATTATTATACAGGATTTATATAGTGCCAACAGTTTGCTCAGCGCTGTACATTATAAAGGGAAACAATACAGCAACAATACAGTTCAATACAAGAGGGATAGGAGGGTCCTGCTCTTTGGAGCTTACAATCTAAGAGGGAGGGGCTGGTGGACTAAAGGTAATAACTGTGGGAGATGGACTGGTAGGAGGAATAGAAGATTCGGTTAGTAGCTGAGGGCAGGATAGGCTTCCCTGAAGAGAGAGGTTCTCAGAGATCGCCTAAAAGTGGGCAGAGTAGGCGATAGTCTGATAGATTGGGGTAGAGAGGATGGGGGAGGCTCTGGAGAAGTCTTGGCGATGAGCATGGGAGGAAGAGACAAGGGAGCAAGGGAGCTAGAGAGCAGGTGGTCGTGTGAGGAGCGGAGAGGACGGTTTGGGTGATATTTGGAGACAAGATTGGTGATGTAATTTGGGGAAGAGTTATAAATGGTTTTATATGTTATTGTTAATGTTTTGAATTTTATCCGTTGGGCAATGGGAAGCCAGTGGAGGGATTGGCAGCAGAGAGGGGTGGCAGATATGGAACGGTTGGTAAGGTGGATAAGTGATACACTGAAGAGGGGATAGCCTGCGATTAGGTAGGCCAATGAGGAGGGAGTTACAATAGGCAAGGGGAGATATAGCCAGGGAGTGAATAAATTGCTTAGTAGTACTATATCCTCCAACCTAAAGGTAACATTGTGCTGTTTCTTCAGTCTGGCAGGAGAACATTGACGACTAAATGTCTGCGCTATGGACTCCAGGTAGCCATCTTGTGGCAAAGCTATTGGATACCAAAATCCTGCAAGATTTGGCTCAGAATTCCATAAATAGGAAATTCTGCATCATTTGGTGTGCCCACAGTGTGGGAGTAAAATAGGGATCCCTTTTTTATAGAGGGAGAGAGTAGCTATAGCTTTAGGGAGAGATACCTGTCAAGGTGGGAAAGGGTAGGTTCCTTATTACAGGGTGTCTCCTCTTTCAGCTTTCTGGAACAGTCTCCCTCTGGCAGCCAGGTATCTGCAGGGACATTTCAGGATTGCAGTGTGAACTAGTGATATCATGCCCCCATCCAAGGGACATGCTCCTTTGGCATTCAATGGTTAGTAAGAGTCCATTACTATAGGAAATTGCCTTGTGGAAAAAGAGCGCCCTCTTCTACCTGAAGAGCTGCAACGTACATGGTACCATTGCTGGAAATTGCCTTATTTCTGTTAAATGTGAATTTCAACAATATTGACAATATTTAAGTATCCATATGCGGTTACTCTGTTCTTCGGTACACTGGTTAGGCCCATCTGCATGCTGACATTTATAACCGGGAGTATTTATTCCAGAAAATGCAGAGGAAAGCAACATCATTTTAAATTCTGGCCAGTATGAGGTGGGTCTGCTATAAGTGCAGACACATGTAACCACACAGGTAGTGCCAACACCTTGATCCAATCACCATGGGATGTATAGATGTTGATTGTCTAAGACAGGATGGAAGGTGTGAAAGTTGTAGAGCCATCCTGTCCTAGTTATATAATCCCATATCTAGAGGAATTGCCACCCATGCAGACTTCCTGACACCAAGGATAGGATTACTGTATGTCACTAGAATAGGAGAGCTCCACAACGTTCACACCTCCCACCCTGTTCTTGGACAATCAACATCTACCCATTCCATGGTGATGAGATTAGGGTGTCTGTACCACCAGTGTGGATAGGGATGATGGTACCTTACTGACACTCATTGGAAGTGACATGGGGAAGCTACAAAACTTCAAAAGAAAAAGTTCAGTTGAATGCAACCAACTACTTCTACGAGCTATACCATGACCTGGATAAATGAGAACCTTCACAGATGTATTTTATTTTGTAAAGCAGAACTAAACATGTAAAACCAAAATTTGCAAGCATCTTTTTTATGGTAGAGTATTTTTATAGGCTCTTCTGCAAAAAAAAAACCTATTTTATCTGTTTGCGAGCATTTTTTATTATCTGTACACAGACTGCAATGCATGAGCAGTATAGTGCAGAGTCTAAGCCCATTCCAGGCATCTGTAAAATGAAAGGAGCTAGATGCGGACATAATGTAACTCCAGTATGCATGTACATGATTTACATCACCAGCTGATGCCCAATCGCCAAAGCAAGAAGATATCCAGTCCAGAAGAAGATGGCAGCCACAATGACAGTGAAGGTGGGGAGTTTTGGACCTCACGTGGAGTATAGCACATCTAGAGGTAAGGGTGCCAAATTGGGTAAATTTATTGTGCATATCTGCACATTATGGTAGGTATTGCCTGGTTGACACCAAAGTTTAATTCCACTTTAGGCTTGATGCACATGGCTGTACAGTTTGCAGAGCCTGCATAATGAAATTCTCCGGACCCACTGTGCTGCATACAGCAGCCTATTGAGAGGCATTGGAAGAGTCATCTGTACGAGGTTGTGCCCTGAGGGTTGTGTAAAGCACCTCCATGCACATTGAAGAAAGCACCAAACACAGATGATGTGCGTTCATTGAATATATGGGTGCTTTATGGAAACCTCTTCTAATGCATTTCAATGGGCAGCTGTACACGGTCGCAGCAGATCCTGGAAATGTTATTACACAGGCTCTGCACATTGTACAGTCCCTATACAGCTTTGTGCATGAAGCCCTAAACTGTTGTTTGTTTACTATGCATGTAGCCCTCTTTTTTTTGGGGGGGGGGGTGAGAAGTGCCTCTCCCCAAATGGGATATTGCATTAAATGTGTAGGTAAAAAAGAAGTCTTCACTATGTGGAAGAGTGGGTTTGACAATAAAGTTGGCAGTACCTCCATCCAGTACAGGGCTTCTGTGAACAGAGGGGATTCCCTTCCTCAGAAATTAATCCATAATCTAATCAAAGTAATTGGGATCAGAACTACTGCAACCAGCATATATTATTAACCACAAGTATATAGATGTACCCCAGTATGGAATAATATGAGAAAAGATTTAAAACAGTACATACATCCAATGTACTACTTAACACGTAATATCAGCAAAGGGCCCAAAAAGACTCCTGTTGAAATTATGCACATATACCCAGGTATACGTAATTATTATTAAAGATACCTTCAGATGAATGTTGAAGCAAAGTCCAGTTTCAGAGACACCTGATGATTATGATGCGGCATTCATCTTTGTGTCAGAGACCTGAAGACAAGATCAGAGGTGATGGGGAGCGCCTCCAGCTGTTGTCCAACCAGCCTGGAATACAGCACCTATTAATACTCTGGATGGTAGCCGCTACACTCATAAAGTAGCACAGACCTAGCTATCTGGCACTGTGCATGTGAGATAACAATAGGACAGAGTTACTCTAACTGTCACAAAGGATTCCAAAACCCACTGATGAAGCTATGGGCAGGTGCAGTTGAACAAATAGAACATAGGATTATTTGCATAA